TTCTATAAACACTTCTATTAGAGTTCATAAATAGATTTCAAACCTGAAATTCTTTTTTATACAGTTCAACTTATACCGCAGCCCATATTAAAAAATAACTAACAATAAGCCTCGTTTTTACAGAGCGGCCTTCTAAACGGCAGAAAAACGACGAAAGTTTGGTTTATAGTCTCATTCCGCGTGTTGACGATTGCTAGACGTCCCAAAATGGTTACCGCGGCAAGGAATGGATGCCAGGTTACTCCACCAGGATCATCAGTAACCCAAATGATTAGGTGTTTGCCAAAAACTGTTGTCAAAAAGGTGTGGCGCTTGAGTTTTTTTGAACCCATTCGGGGGCTGCGCATCAAGCCACAAGCGAAGTATTCTGTCTACTATGTTTGGTTCTTTCTAAATTTGAACAGAACGAGTTCCTCTTTTTCAGATGGTTGACTATGTGCTGACTATTTAAGGACCTCACACCTAGTGAAACTCCTCCACGGTTCCAAAAAAACGCATGTTGGATGCATGGCTCGCTCCAGGGGACACATTTCTTTCACCAAACGTCCGACTATCTGCCACTGCAACAACATCAAGCGTTAGGATAATTTACAACCGTCTCAGCTTAATTGCCTACAGCAATTATGTCATCAATTCTACCCCGTTGCACCATCGTCGATAATAATAACGGCTTCCACTTAGATTTGAATGATTTCTTATTTTATTCCATGCAACCCATATCCAAAACCTACAACATCTATCAAGATCACTCGGAAACAATAGCAGCAAGAAAAAAACCATCAAAAGATATCTGCTGTTCAATTGCCGGTTTTCGAATGCGTTTCATGTGATTGTTATTGGGTGGTCGAAAAGACCCATTTGCATATGCAGAGCCCAAAAAAAGCGCACCCATACACTAGAGGACATGAAAATACTGCATGCCGCGGTGGCGGGCCTTCCAAACCACACTGCACCTTGAAACTGAAGTAGATCTATGGATCTGACTGCTAAGAAAAGCAGGATAAAGAGAAAAAGAAAAGCTGGGAAGGCTAGAGCAAGGAAAGTGAAAACTTGCCTGCATCCATCACCTTCTTCATACCATGACTAATGCTACTTGCTATACGCCAAATCCCCAGCATCATGGGAAATGAACTCAAATCACTCATTCGAACTCATATCAGCTCTTTAATTCAAAATCGTTCCCTTAAAAAAGCTGCCTCTATCATACATATGATGGTGCTCAAGTTTTGTCAAACGATGGTAAAGCAAGAAGCAGGAAATAAACCATGTCAATACATCCACGTCCATGCGCCGCGAACGCTTCGCGCACGCTCGCGCGCGTCGCGTGGTACGACTGACACGGTTTTGATTGGGTCGTATCCACCAAACGTATCCACAAAAAACCAACAAAAGCATTTTTTATTTACACTTGCAAAGTTATCGATGTTTTTCTTTCTATCAACTCAAATGCACAACAAACTATTCAGTTAATAAAGTCCTCAGGACAAACAATAATTCATGGCATTGCGAAAAATTATAAATTCTGAATTTCAGAAAATCAACGTTAGAAGCCGATGACGTCAAAACGCACTAAAAATCCTTACATATTTCAATTTAAAACGAAAGCACTTCACTAAGCGGCACACCGCTGATGCGCACGTACTCTCAAATGGCACGTAAATTCAACAACGGTGGTCAATCAACGGTCGATAACAGCCGACGTACGACACGAGCGATAATCAATAAACAGTCGATAACGATCAATAATGACAGAGAACTCAATGCAATAAAACAACAGACACACACACACAATTTATTATATATAGCAAATCAAGAACGACATATGGCTGTAAAAAACAAAAACAAAAATGGTCCGAAAAATCGGGTTAGTACATCGACTGAAGAGATCAAGTGACTCGTATGTGCACATTATAATCCTATACCGGAATCCGCTTGATTATGGCGAATATTTCTGTAATATTAAAATCGATCAATTGTTTACAGAGGTGAAACAAAGTTGATGAACCACTAAGGAAAAAAGATCCAGAATGCGCCATGCACAGGTCAGCAGTGTAGCATGCTGGATCAACTGCAATCGTGTAAAGCCCGAATTATGTCTTATATGCTCTTTTTAAAGGCAGTCCCAAAGACTGGACCACAGTAATCCTTTCGGTGAGCAGGACAGAGCTATTTGCAATGGTCACCGTTCAAGCGGCATCGGAATTGGGCAACAAGAACGCTAGAGGCTTGCCCATGCTCTCGATTCGTGACCAAGGGTGGTACTCCTACTGCTCACAAGCAGCGTGTGTCTGTACCCTCTCGTACAACGTGATCTTTTGAGTTTTCTTGCTTCCCTGCGCGTTGTGTCTCCCCAGAGTGGTAGACGTCCAGTTCTCCTCCCCTCCAGGGGCCAGGTCGTCAGAGCTGTGCGATCATTGAACCTGAAGGTTAGCTAGGGTTTGGCTTAGGGTAGGCTTATGCTTACACATTGGCTTATGTTTAAGCCTATGGTTGGGCCTAGGCTTTAGTCTTAAGCTTGCTTCGAGCAAATGAGTGGTGTCTCAACTTTTAGGTGACCTGACCTGAAGGAGAAAAAAACCTTCAATTTAAACACAATTCAAAAAATGTACTTGATAATGAGAGCTTACCCGTTTTCACTACGGTCTTTTTCCACCAAATAGCAGTCGGAACTGTCATCTCGTTGACTCAACACTGCAATTATCACTGATCATCACACATCACTTACTTACCAGTATTTTCATAACTGTTTTTACCAAATATCATATTAATTGTTAAAACGTGGGCTAAAATTAGTCAACAACCGAGAACA